AATACTTTGTGGAAGCTGTGTAGTACAAAGTAGTACTGGGAAGTACTTTGTGCAGGCTTTGTGGTACACAGTCGTACTGGGAAGTACTTTGTGAGTCTTGTAGTACGAAGTAGCTACAAAGTCTTGCCGGGGACTGTTTCGTGCAAGTTTTGTAGCACAAAGTAGTACTGGGAAGAGCTTTGTGCAAGCTTTGTAGTACACAGTAGTACTGGGAAATACTTTGTGGAAGCTGTGTAGTACAAAGTAGTACTGGGAAGTACTTTGTGCAGGCTTTGTGGTACACAGTCGTACTGGGAAGTACTTTGTGAGTCTTGTAGTACGAAGTAGCTACAAAGTCTTGCCGGGGACTGTTTCGTGCAAGTTTTGTAGCACAAAGTAGTACTGGGAAGAGCTTTGTGCAAGCTTTGTAGTACACAGTAGTACTGGGAAATACTTTGTGGAAGCTGTGTAGTACAAAGTAGTACTGGGAAGTACTTTGTGCAAGTCTTGTGCCAGGAGAGAGAACAAAAAGCCCGCCATTGCTGAATCAAACTAGTTTGATTTTTGGATGTTGCACCTTGGACACCTTCGAACGAAAGATCAAGCATGTACAAAATCAATGCATGTCACAAACAAACATGAGTTGACGTGTACCATGCACACTCGTCACATCAATGTCTAACAATGCTATATCCCTTCAGGAGATACACCAAGCTTTGTGGTGTGGAGTGCAAAATGTGGATTGTTCAGTAAAGAGTGTGTGAAGTGTAGAGTGCGGCGCAGTGTGTGAAGTGTGGAGTGTGGAGTTTTGAGTGCGGAGTAGGGTGTGGAATGGAGAGTGCGGAGTGTCACGAGTGTCAAGGGTGTCAAGAGTGTCAAGAATGTCAAGATTAGAGTGTGGAGTGTCAAGTGTGGGGTGTAGAGTGGAGAGTATGGAGTGTGAAGTGTAGAGTGTGGAGTGTGGAGTATCAAGTGTGGAGTTTCATGTGTGGAGGGTGAAGTGGCGAGTGTGGAGTGTGAAGTGTAAAGTGTAGAGTGTGTGTAGTGTAGAGTGTTGAGTGTTGAGTGTGAAGCGTGAAGTGTAGAGTGTAGAATTTGGAGTGTCAACTGTGCAGTGTCAAATGTGTGGAGTGTGCTGAAGAGTGTGAAGAGTGTGAAGAGTGTGAAGAGTGTGAAGAGCGTGAAGAGTGTGAAGAGTGTGTTGAAGAGTGCCAAGAGTGTGTTGAAGAGTGTCTGTCAAGAGTGTCAAGAGTGTCAAGAGTGTGAAGGGTGTGAAGAGTGTGAAGAGTGTGTTGAAGAGCGTCAAGAGCGTCAAGAGTGTCAAGAGTGTCAAGAGTGTGAAGAGTGTCAAGAGTGTGAAGGGTGTGAATAGTGTGAAGAGTGCGAAGAGTGTGAAGAGTGTGAAGCGTGTGAAGGGTGTGAAGAGTGTGTAGTGTGAAGAGTGTGTAGTGTGAAGCGTGTGTAGTGTGAAGAGTGTGTAGTGTGAAGCGTTTGTTGCGCGAAGAGTGTGGAATGGGTCGCGGTCTGGGTCGGCAACCAAAAGGGCTGAGTCAGCAACCAAAAAGGGTTGAGTCGGCAACCAAAACCAGTCTGAGTCGGCAACCAAAAGCGCTGAGTCGGGAACTATGAGTCGGCAACTAAGAAAGCGCTACCAAAAAACAAACATACAAGTATTTGGCAACTAAAATGTTGAGGATGATCATGTTGAGGATGATCATGTTGAGGAGGAGGATGAAAAGGATGATAATTATTTTAATGTTGCGGAAGAGGAGGTGGAGGAGGAGGATGTTGCAGAAAATTAGGTGGAGGATGACGATGTTGAGGATGATGATGTCAAGGGGGAGGACGAGGATGATGCTGAGAATGATGGTGTGGAGGAGGAGGAAGATGATGATACTGAGGAGGAGGAGGCGGCGGAGGAGGAGGAGGAAAAGGAGGAGGAGGAGGACCGATCACAAGACCCCCGAGTGTGTACACACTGCGTGGGAAACTCACGTTGCTCCAGGGATTATTAGGGGGCAAATGGATATAACTTGATATAACTAATGTTTGCCATGTTAAGAATCCCTGTGTGCCTATGCGTTGTTCTGTAAAGATCATACCAAATAACAAATCATGTGGTAATTCATTCCAGTGGTTGTGTCACTTCTTCCGCATGGCACACCGAGATGAGACAACAAAGTGCTATCTGAGACAAGAAAGGGCTTTCACCCAGTATTTGGCAACTAAAATGGATGCAAAGCTTAGATTGCAGAGATTCCGCTGTCCTCTAAAATAGAGGCGGCAAATCCTATTCCAGAGCTTCTGTTCTCCTCTAAAATAAAGGCACTCCGTCTTCCTCTAAAATAAAGGAGCAGCTACGACTCCAGAGACTACCGTTCTCCTCTCCACCCCTGGTTCAACGTGTATGAGTGCTAGTGCTGTGCCATTCTTGGTTTGCAAGTGCCAGGGAACGTTAACATCCCACCCACCCCACACCACACCACCCCCCCCACCCCCCCACACCACCCTGGTCACTGTTATGAGTGCTAGTGCTGTGCCATTCTTGGTTTGCAAGTGCCAGGGAACGTTAACATCCCACCCACCCCACACCACACCACCCCCCCCACCCCCCCACACCACCCCTGGTTCACGTGTTGAGGTGCAGGCTAGTGCCATTCTTGGTTTTGCAAGTGCCAGTGTAGACGTTAACATCCCACTCCACCCAACACAACCCACCCCCCCCACCCCCCCACACCACCCTGGTTCAACGTGTAGAGTCTAGGGCTGTGCATTCTTGGGTTGCAAGTTCCTAGGGAACTTTAACATCCCACCCCCCCACACCACCCCCACCCCCCCCACCCCCCCACAGTCCGACCCCCCTGGTTTCAAACGTGGTATGAATTGCATGTTGCTTGTGCCATTCTGGTTTTGCAAGTGCCAGGGAAACGTTACACATCCACCCACCCACACCAGACACCACCCCCCCCACCCCCCCACCCACCCCTTGTTCGACGTGTATAGTGCTATGCTGTGCCATTCTTGGGTTTGCAACAGTGCCAGGGAACGTTAACATCCCACCCCCCACACCACAACCACCCCCCCCCCCCCGCCACCCCCGCCTGGGTCCACTGTTGAGTGCGGTGCTGTGCCATGTCTTGGTTTGGCAAGTGCCAGGAACGTGAACTCCCACCCCCCCCAACACACCACCCCCCCCACCCCCCCCCCACCCCGCCCCGTTGGGTTCAAACGTTATTGTTTCTAGATCTGTGCCATTCTTGGTTTCAAGTGCCGGGAACGGAACATCGCCCCCCACCCACACCACACCACCCCCCCCACCCCCCCACACCAACCCCGGGTTCAACGTGTATTGTGGCTAGAGCTTGGTGCATTCTGGGTTTGCAATGCCAGGGAACGTTAACATCCCACCCACCCCACAACCACCGACCCCCCACCCCACCCCTGGTTCAACGTGTAGTGTGCTAGTGTGTTGGTGCCAGGCTTGGGTGGCAAGGGCCAGGAACGTTAACATCCCCACCCCACCCCACGACACACCCCCCCCCTCCCCCCCCCCACCACCCCCCTGGTTTCAACGTGTATGGGTTTAACGTGTATGTGTGCTAGTGTTTGCGCGCCATTCTTGAAAATTTTCGGTTGCTGAAAAGGTCTATTTTTAGTTGCTGACTCGGACGTTCTTGGTTGCTGACTCGGGTAGTTTCTGACTCGGCTTCTTTAGTTGCTGACTCTTGGTTGTTGACTCGGGTGTTCGTAGTTGCTGACTCGGTTGTTTTTAGTTGCTGCCTCGTAGTTGCTGACTCGGTTAGTTGCTGACTCGGTCAATGTTCGAGTGGAATGTGACATGTAGTGTTGAGGCTAGTGTAGAGCATGTCATGTTGCGTATGAAATGTACAACGTAGAGTGTGAGAGTCTTGCTGCTATTGCACACGTTTGACTGGGTGGTTTCGCGTTGCGGATTGTCCGGTGTAACGCGTGGAGTGTAGAATGCAGAGTGCAGAGTGAGGAGCGCAAAGTAAGTATGGTTTTCAGCATATCTTCAGCTTCAGCGTTTTCTTTTTCTCTCTACCTATTTTTGCATTAATTAATTAAAAAATGCATTCGGGTCTGTAAATTCCATCAGGTGCATATCTTGAGAGAATATGTCAATATCATTCTAGGACGACCACGACGACGATGATGACGATGACGGGCAACAATGATTGGGATGGCCAAGATTATGAGGATTAGGATGCAGGACGAGATGAGGACCACGTGGCTGGCGATGACGAAGGAGGGGGAGGATGACAGCTATAGCTATGATGTATACAGAATGCAACATACTGTAATGCCCCAACATTCGAAGCCATGGAAGGGTATGGAAGGCAACAACAAACATAAAATTGCACGCAACAATCTCTTCGAACCTCCAGATTCGTAGCAGCAAGGTCGCGAAGAAGCTGAACGGCCCACAGTGTTAAGAACATGTATAGAACCCCTTTCAAAACTGGAAAAGTATCTCCTGTGCCCTCTGACCCAAATAGGAGACTCTGCTAAAGCACAGAAAACTCTGTTAGCTGACGCTAACTTTCGTGATCACCGCCGCCAACAGTTTTGGAATGTTTCCAAAACAAGGTCTCGAAACTGACGAACGGCAAAAAGCACCACTGGTTGATATCTGATATCTGATATCGCAGTGGTCAAAATAAGCCTGCACAAGCTCTACTGGTCAAGAGCGCTGTTTCGCACCAAATCAGCCCACGTGAAACCCAAAACCTCTGGACCCTCCTTGGAAACATAAAACCCCTTGAAACGTTCCAAACATGAAGACCTGCAGCACCTTCGAACCTTGTCACTCAACCTTTATTGGCAGAGGCCGCATTTGCTCTTGGGTAATTGTGAAAAGCAAATGCCATCACAGCCCCCTCCCATACAACAACGCCTAACCGCTGAGCCCTTGGTATGCCCTTTCCTGGTGATTCGTCTCTATCATTACGTTTGAAAGGCCCAATCCATCACCACAAGTTCAGCGAGTTCCACCATGTGGCTGTATCAAAGTCGATCAGTTTGACACTGGCGGGGCTTTGCGCATCGCCGCCATCCATCAAGCGTTCCTTTCTGTTTGCTCTTCCTTTCCTCAATTTGAATTTCAAAACTCACATGCGGCACAAACAAATCGCATTGACATGTTGGTGACACAGAATCACACAGAAAAAGAACTCGCTGAAGGGTCGGTGATTCCGCTGCTGGCAGGTCCACCATGACGTTCTCGGCTTTCAGGTCCTTGTGGATGCGGCCGCTTGCATGCCTTGGATCTTGGCTGATCTTGGCTGGGCACCATCTTCGTCTCCATGTTTTTTAGGTTCTCTCACGTCTCATTGGCTGCTCCAGTAGCTTAGTTCCGCATTTCGCTCAGCCGAGTTGCATCACTTTCAAAGCGTCCAGAGTCTGTCGCACCTTTGTTCATTGAATCAAACTCTCAGACACGAAAAAACGTTTTTGATTCACCTGTCTTCGTGGCAGCCTTTCACCACACATTGCGTTCACGGCACCACTTCGCGTGCATCGATGTGGTTTAACTGTCCATCCTCCATCTGTTCAAAAAGATCTTTGCCTACAGGAATGGGCGCAACGGCATGGAACAGACGAAGGACTGAGTGACTGATTGGTTAGAACAGTTTCAAAGTGCCAACCGCGGCAAGCATCGGATTTTGAAATACTTTTTCTTCCTTCCATGCTGTCAACTACATATAGCTCTAACCAGGACATCCGTGCCGTCGCAAGGAGCGCCTTCAACTTTTTCCATGACAATAAGGTATCTTTCCGGCGTTTCCAGAACCTGACAACTTTCAACGCAAAACGGAGGAAATATCAAAAAGACAATGGCTCGCCACAAGAAAACAGTGCCTCGTAAATCTCACAAAGTTTGTTGATTTTCCTTAGCCAATCCATCGAATGTGCGCAATGCTGTTCACAACACTGTGCACCAGCAAGGTCAATGTGACTCCCATGCACCTACTTCACGAATGTCAAATTGTCTGCACCTACTTTCCGCATCTTTCCGCCCAGGGACGGCATGGACATTTGAACTTCAGTAGTGCCCCGCCAGTTGCGTTCCTCTGCTGGACTTTTGAATGATACACCCTGCGAGCGAGAACGAAAAGCATCTCAACCCCAAAATGGTGCATCTTGACAGAATTGCACAACAAAAAATCTGTGGTTGCGCAATCTGAGGAGGGTCATTGTGTCATACTGGGTCAGCCCGTGGTGATAAAGACAAGGCCAATGCTGAAATCGCAACTGCAAGTCTTCACCACACACGCCTTCTGCCGAGTTTTCACCACACATTGTTGCCCATCAGATAAACGAGTGCCCCACAAGACATCCATTCCACGATTGGTGGACTCCATTACCTGACATTGAAGCATGTTATGCTAATTAGTGGAACGTCGCATTTTGCAAGAACTTGAGTGGAAACCAGAAATCAAGCGTGTCGGGGAAACCATGCCACCAAGCTTGTATCCTCATATGTGCACCCAACGAAAGAGGCCAAACGTGTTTTGTGCAAAAGGGCACTTATCACCTGTCTGACATTCAATCTTTGAGCGCATGTTGGTTCTTGAATACCGGCGTGCAGTGCGCACACAAAGAACAAAACCGAACATGAACAAGCCAAAATGATCAAAACGGCATGGCGCTAGCAAACCATTGACAAATCAACAAATCACTCAAGCCTTGGCAACATCAAATTGTACACATGATCACACATGGGGTACATGCCGCCAGCATGGGCTAATTCTCTGTGTCTACCGGAAAATTGCTAACATTCCGCCCGCCAAGCGCTGGCAGCACTTGCGCCTTTTTTTTGAGAACTTCAGCCAAAAAAAAAGCGACGAAAGTCACTCATGAAAGGTATTTAAAATTGATTGATCATCAGGACTGTTGGTGTCTTGGCATGCTAAGTCTATGTCTGTTCAAAGCTTTGCGTGGACGCATTTTTGTGGATGTTTGGCCATGGATGCAATGGGTTTTTTTGCCTATGATTCCTATGATTCAAATTTTGTTGAAGAATTGTTTGACGGAATTACGTCGGACTTGTCACTGCATCCAAGCATCTTCTGGCGACATCTGCTTCAGAAGTGGCCTGACAACTAACTTCAGGTTGAATCGGGGCCAATGAGCCAATGGTAGTGGGGTCAGAGGCAAAAACAAACCAGTTGATCCACTTGTCTATCGTCGGGTGGGGAGTTTCCACGTGCAGGGAGAGGTTTGCTTGGAAACGCGTGGTTGGAAAGGAAAATGGTTGTTGGAGAGACATGGTATGTGGTATGACGATGTTTGGAACTGAGCGCAATGAATAGGAGTAGGAAGGATGTGTGTACGAAAGTATGAAATATGGATATGCAGGAGCGAGATTCAGCAAAGAAAGAGCACACCAAGGACCAAGTGTGGATATGCTGGGAAATTGAAATTCAGGACTGTGAATGGGATCGAAGCTAAAAATATCTGATCCCAAGACCCTTTCCAAAGGCCGACAAATCCTTCACGTGAAAGTTTCAAACGTTACGAAGCTTTGATAAGTTTTGGCACGCCGGTGCTAGCTTTGGTGCTTAAGATTGGAGGGGCAACGCGAGGGCCCTTTACCTACCGCAAGGTGCCAAATGTTCGGTGCTTAGGGGGGCCATTACCTACCACCATCTCTTGTTGGCGATAGATGGCACCAAAGTGTCAGACACCTTCATGGGCAACAAAGCGGGGGAATGGCAAGGGCATGGCAATAAAAATAATAAAACAACAGCACGACCTCAGACAAGGTTTAAGAGACCATCTCATTCCAAATGCCACACCATTGGTAAAACAAAGCGGCCTACAAAATTTTATTCATTCCCAAGGAAATTGAAGGGAGAGAATTCCGAGTTACTAAAAACGACAATTTTCGCTGAACTACGTGCTCAAACACCAACCATTCAACCAGTTTAACAAGCACAATCACTTTGAGTTTTTTCGCCACTCAGCAACACCATCTAATCACCAGCACCATCAACAGCAACAGCACCCACAACCACAACTACAACCATCCAACCACAACAACAAGAACCATCCAACCACAATTATTCAGCTACGCCATTTTGGCCACAAGTATTCAAAGACTACCATTCAACCACGGCTATTCAACCGCAATTAACCACAAATATTGGATTGCGACTTTCAACCACCACTTGTCCGCCATGATTGGACCACACCTATGCAACCGCACCTTGTCAACCACATCTATACAACCACCGCAATTCAACAACCGCTCCTCAACCACAACTGCTCGAAGACCATTTTGTTCTGTGGCTGTCGGGCAAAAATTGGGCAAAACATGTGTTTGTTTGCTTTTCTGTTTTTTGTGGTGATGTGGGTGTGTGAGTGTGTGTGTGTGTAACATTTAAATCGGCATGGGGCTAAGCCAAGAACCCCTTCACCGTATGGTCTATGTCGCGATGAACGGAATCCTTCCACGAGAACGTGTATTTATCAGGAGTCTACTCAGGCGCGATGGTTTTGTTTCATGAATTTAAGGCATTCAACTCCCAGCTGACTGAACGGTAAAGTTGTTTCTAGTGTGCGAGTTGGACGCAATGTGATGTCGGGGTCCGACCTAGCCGGATCCTGCTCAGATCACACTAGAATCTAGCTGGCTGTGGGGCGGCTGATGTTCAGAAACAAAAGCGCCAAGCCGTTCAAGAACACCACGCACGCTAGAGTGAGAGACAAAAAAGTACACCAGACAAAAAAAACTCTTACAGAAATAGATTTTGATGGCAGGTGAGATATAAGTTTTGTGGATTTTTCCCCACCTGCCAGGTGAGGGTTGTTAGATTTTATCAGAGCTGTTCTCCTCCTCCTCCTCCGCCTCCTCCTCGCAGTCCAGGTCCCAGTGGGCACACGCGAGTTGCAGATCCCAGTGGGCACTGCCGGACCTCAACCGCGACTTCCAGGTCGCAGTGGGCACTGCCGGACCTCAACCGCGACTTCCAGATCGCAGTGGGCACTGCCGGACCTCAACCGCGACTTCCAGATCGCAGAGGGCACTGCCGGACCTCAACCGCGACTTCCAGATCGCAGTGGGCACTGCCGGACCTCAACCGCGACTTCCAGATCGCATTGGGCACTGCCGGACCTCAACGGGAAGAATGTCAGAAAAGGTGTCAGACAGAATGTCAGAATATATGCCAGATAGAATGCCAGAAAGAATGTCAGAAAGAATGTCAGAAGATATGCCAGAAAGAATGTCAGAAGATATGTCAGATAGAATATCAGAAGATATGCCAGATAGAATGCCAGAAAAAATGCCATAAGATATGCCAGATAGAATGTCAGATAGAATGCCAGAAGATATGCCAGATAGAATGCCAGAAGATTTACCAGATAGAATGCCAGAAGATATGCCAGAACATATGCCAGAAGATATGCCAGGTAGAATGCCAGAAGATATGTCAGATAGAATGCCAGAAGATATGTCAGATAGAATGCCAGAAGATTTGCCAGTAAGAAAATGTATAAATGTCATGGTGGGGATCATTCGAAGTGAAGTAATTTATCAGGCAACAGAAAGATCGAAATGCCCGACCGCCACTTGAAGGCATCAAACAAAATTTAGTCCAAACAAAAATAAATTTTGATGTTTGGTCTAGGTTGCGACTTGGAGCAGCTATCCCACATATGATTCCACTTAGGGTTCGTTTCGGATTCATTGATGGCTGTCTTAGGGTCTATTTGGGGTTGGCTTAAGTTTTTCCCCACCTGCCAGGTGAGGGTTGTTAGATTTTATCAGAGCTGTTCTTCCGCCTCCTCCTCCTCCTCCTCCTCCGCCTCCTCCTCTTCCTCCTCCCCCAGTTTCTCCTCGACCCTGTCTGCATCAACTTCCACGTCCACTTCCGCCTTGCCAACTCTTCGCCAATCTCTTCGCCAACTTCTGCGCGCAGTGGGCACTGCTGGACCTCAACTGCCGGCTTCGATCTGAGTGGGCACGGCTGGGCCTCAACCGCAAGGTTCTGAGCGCAGTGGGCACCGCTGGGACCTTCCGAGCTCAGTGGGCACCGCTGCACCTCAACCTGGGACCTTCCGAGCTCAGTGGGCACCGCTGGACCTCAACGGCCAGATAGAATGCCAGAAGATATGCCAGGTAGAACGCCAGATAGCATGTCAGATAGAATGCCAGAAGATATGCCAGATAAAATGCCAGAAGATATGCCAGAACATATGCCAGAAGATATGCCAGAACATATGCCAGAAGATATGTCAGGTAGAATGCCAGAAGATATGCCAGATAGAATGCCAGATCGAGTGCCAGAAGATATGTCAGATAGAATGCCAGAAGATTTGCCAGATAGAATGTCAGATAGAATGCCAGAAGGTATGCCAGATAAAGTGCCAGAATGTTTGCCAGATAGAATGCCAGAAGCTTTGCCAGAACACATGCCAGAAGATATGCCAGGTAGGATGCCAGAAGATATGCCAGATAGAATGCCAGAAGATATGCCGGAAGATATGCCAGAACATATGCCAGAAGATATGTCAGGTAGAATGCCAGAAGATATGCCAGATAGAATGCCAGATCGAGTGCCAGAAGATATGTCAGATAGAATGCCAGAAGATTTGCCAGTAACAAAACGTATAAATGTCATGGTGGGGATGACTCGAAGTAAAGTATTTTTTTTGGATTGGTACAGGGTCTGTGTACAATCTGTTTAGGGTTGTTTTAGGGTTGGATCAGGGTTTATTTTGGGGCATTCGGATTCAACCTATTCCAACCCAGCCAGCTTTCCGAACCAACCCCCACCCCCAATCCACCAACAAATCCCCTGACAAGCCTTGCTCTTTCCTATAGTTGTCTTAAAGCTGTCTTATCCTTCAAACTATACTCTGTTCCGCTTATTTCCTGGAAATTTGTGCGCACTACGATGAAACAACGCCAATAGATTGGTCCTGTTGGACTTGTTTGCATCCCTAGTCACCCTTTGTATACGACATGTCCGTGACAGTGTGACGAAGTGGCCTGGATCTTCTGCTTATGCTGCACTTTTTGCGCAGTGTCACCACCCTGGTGGCTTTGCAGCACTGCTGGACATGTACTTTGACGATCTTTGACATTGATATGTTACACAGGCTGCGCCCTATGTCAATAAGGTTCGGACAGTCGTCACAGCCAGTGACAGACCTAATCTCTCTCGTGCTGCTTTCATCATCTTTGGAATGCCTCGGGCAACATATCCAACATATCCCACACTTTGAAATGTGCAGTCTGCGCGGTACCCTTGAGAAAATGCCTCTTCTCCGTAAACCACTTTGACAAGCAACGTTGGGCACCAGCTACTGGCCAGCTGCTGCCGAACTTGAAAAGCTGCAGAGCACAAGTACGGTTACACCGGCTAAGAGCATCGGGGACCTGTCTTTTTCTACATGTGTTTGTTACTGGGTACGCCACCCCTGTTGCACATCCGCATTCAACCGTTGTCTGTTAATTTCCATGCTGGAGCCGGCCTAATCTTAAGACACAGGTGAATCAGCTCGGCTCAGCGGCTCAGCACTTCAATGGAAGTTTTCGGCTTTGCATGGCCTCACAGTGAAACGGGGAACCGGGATCCACCTTCGACTGGCCAAGGAATTGCAAATTTGCGGTGCAGCAGCTTCGCCCAGCTGCCATGTCTTTGTACAAATTCGCTGTTCATTCGCGTTCGGAAACATGTCCTTCCAGAAGTGCTCTCACGAGCACCGGATCGTGTTCAATTCGAGCCGTCATTCGGCTCCAGATCTATTCAAACGCATCATCGGAAGGCATTTGCGCGCTTCCAACAGAAACCATATAGCCAAAGTCGTGCGGGTTGTTTCGTAATGGGCCGATCTTCTTGGCACATTGGCTAACGTTTGCGGGGGCCAGGTTGTCCACAAAGACTTCCCCGCAGAAAACTGCCAGATCTTGCAGGTCATACATGTGAGCAAGTTCAATCATTGCAGCCGCATCAATATTTGGATCAAAGACTCCGGTGTACACATGTCTCAGCAAATTAGCCACGACCTCCTTGGGTGCTGGGATGCTCACAGAATTCTCTTTTGTTTCCAACATCCCAGATTCGAACATTCGATTAAAAACTGGTGATGATGCGGCCAGCAAAGCCTTATGCGCCTCCAGCACACTCCCATCCGCACAGACCACTCGGACGTCTGAAAAACATGGTGTTTGCAAAAGCCTCTCGGTGTAGCACAGAGGTGTTCGACTATGTTTTTGCGTTGCTTCAATGCGCAACACAGCATTGTCAGCCACAGATGCACCAAAGAAGCGCCGAGCTCGTGCTGGAGCTAAAAGGCTTCCATGCCAAATTCGAACCTGCCATGAGCTCATTGAATGCTGTCTTGTGATGACCGGGAAAATCCGGGAAATATTAAAAGCGTTTCGCCTTGCCTCTCGATTGATTAATCCCAAGCTAGATCGATTTGCTGCTGTGTATGCATCGTACTTGGGTGGGCTCAGCGCACACGGGTAACATATTGAATTGTTACCGTGTAAGAAAACGCAGTTTCCCTCCCCTTCCATTGCTGATGTCTGTGAATTGGCCTTTCCCCATTTATTGCTTGGTATCTGGTAAGGAATCCTTGCTGATACAATCGTGTCCCTTTCTTTTCGTCTTTCCTTCCCTAGGCCCTAAGCTGCTTGCCCTTCCCTGCCATGATCCCCTGCACTGTTCCTCAGACTTGTGCCTCAGCCTTGTTTTCCTTGTTTTGTGTGTTTGTTTTGTTTTTCCCCACATCTTTGTGTGATGTTCTTGTTTTTGATTCTGTATCCCGCCGCTCGTCCTCCGCCTCCTCCTCCTCCTCCGCCGCTTCCTCCCTTCTTTCAACCACCATCTGTCACACACATCTTTGTCACACACCATCTGTCACACACCATCTTTCACACACATCTTTGTCACACACCATCCATCTGTCACACACACATCTGTCACACACATCCTTATCCACCACCATCTTTCGACCACCATCTGTCACACACATCTTTGTCAACCACCATCTTTCACACACATCTTTGTCAACCCCCATCTTTCACACACATCTTTGTCAGGCGTGGCACTTGGTGACATCCACCTTCGTTTCACGTTGCAGGCGTGGCACTTGGTCACATCCACCTGCGTTTTGCGTGGCAGGCGTGGCGCTTAGGGCACTGGGCTGGCTCTGGTGGCGCGCTTGGGCCGGTTTTAGTCGCCAGTGACGCCGCGGTACTTTGCGTGGCAGGCGTGGCACTTGGTGACATCCACCTTCGTTTCGCGTGGCAGGCGTGGCACTTGGTTACATCCACCTTCGTTAGGCGTGGCACTTGGTGACATCCACCTTCGTTTTGCGTGGCAGGCGTGGCACTTATCGCACTGGGCTGGCTCTCGTGGCGCGCTTGGGCCGGTTTTAGTCGCCGGTGACGCCGCGGCACTTTGCGTGGCAGGCGTGGCACTTGGCGGCATGCACCTTCATTCCGCATGCATCTTCATTTCACGTGGGAAGCGTGGCACTTGGTGACATCCACCTTCGTTTCACGTGGTAACATCCACCTTCCTTTCACGTGGCAGGCGCGGCACTTGGTCACATCCACCTTCGTTTGCGTGGCATGCGTGGCACTTATCGCCGGTGACGCCGCGGCACTTTGCGTGGCAGGCGTGGCACTTGGTGACATCCACCTTCGTTTCACGTGGCAGGCGTGGCACTTGGTGACATCCACCTTCGTTTCACGTGGCAGGCATGGCACTTGGAAACATCTACCTTGGTTTTGCGTGGCAGGCGTGGCATCTGCCGCGATCTTTCTCAGACCATCTCACTCACACGACTTTGTCACAGACATCTTTCGCACACCTTTTATACACCACTTTGTCACCCACCATCATTTGCATGCATAGTATCATGACTGATCGGCAACATCATACCGGAGCAGAAACAAATGGTAATCCTATCATCTCGTTCTGCGTTGATCGCTTTGGCCCAAGCAGAAATTGCAGACGATGATTCTAGCATAGTCAGTCAAGTTGAACTACCAGTTGCATAGCGCAAGCACTCGGTCATCGGATCATGTTTAGAACCCTTCATGACGCGCTGCCGGCATGTTTTTGGCATGTTTTTGGCATGTTTTTGCATGTTTTGGGCATGTTTTGATTGTTTTGGTATGTTTTTGCGTGTTTTGGCATGTTTTGGCATGTTTTAACATCTTTTGGCATGTTTTGGCATGTTTTAGCACGTTCTGGCATGTTTTGGCGTGTTTTCGAATGTCTGAGGCATGTTTTGTTTGGCATGTTTTGTTGATTTTTTTTATGTTTTCGCATGTTTAAGCATGTTGTCTGCATGTTTGGACACGTTTTAGCATGTTTTGTTATGTTGCGACATGTTTTGGCATGTTTTGCTATGTTTCGGCATGTTTTAGCATGTTTTGTTGCGCACTTCCGCATACCTCCTCCTCCTTCTCCACACCATGTTTCACACACAACTTTGTCACACACCATCTTTCACCACACCATCTTTAGCACACAACTTTGTCACACACCATTTTTTGCCATACCATGTTTCAGACACCGCTTTGTCACACACCATCTTTCACACACAACTTTGTCACACGCTCTCTTTCACACACAACTTTCACACACACCATCTTTCACACACAACTTTGTCACACACACCATTGTTCTTTGTCACGCACCATCTTTCACACACAACTTTGTCACACACACCGTTTTTCTTTGTCACACACCATCTTTCACATACCACTTTGTCACACACAACTCTTCACACACAACTTGTTTTACTTCTCGATCATCCATCACATCCTTTGTCTTTCCTTCCTTCCCCGTCCCCCCTACAACATTTGTAGATCATTATTGGAAGAAGTTGACTTGTGGGGTATCCGGTCCTTTAATTTCCTGTTCTTGGATATTTCTTCTTCATCTTGTTCTCCTCTTGTGGTTTTTGCAGCAATGCCAAGGCAATGCCAAAGATGAGAATTGCAGCTCTCAAAGCGTGGCAGGAAGGACTTTCCTTTTTCTGTCACAATTCTCCTTGCAGGATGCAGGGGGGCGCACTTGCCCGGACGATTTGATAAACGCAGCAGGTGCTGCGCACGCGCGTGTTGTCAAGACTGTCCTATCCATCTATCTATCTTTCTATCTATCTATCTATCTATCTAACTATCTCTCTGTCTATCTATCTATCTATCCATCTATCTATCTATCTCTCTCTCTCTATCTATCTATCTATCTATCTCTCTCTCTCTCCCTTTTACTCTTGTTCTTTCCCTCTCTCTCTCCTCCCTGTATTTATCTATCCGTCTGCTTCTGTATCTGCTTATTTATCTGTCTGACTACCTATCTGGATCTCTCTCCATCTATCTCGATGTCTCTCTATCTCCCTCTCTCTCTCTCTCTAAATCTATCTAAATCTATCTCTATCTATCTCTATCTATCTCTATCTCTATCTACCTCTATCTTCCTCTTCCTCTCTGTCTCTCTCTCTCTCCCTCTCTCTCTCTCTCTCTCTCTCTCTCTCTGTCTGTCTGTCTGTCAGTCTGTCTGTCTGTCCGTCCTTCCAGCACTAGCTATCTCGCTTTCTTTCTCTACCTATCTTTCTTTCCCTGCCCTTATTTCTGTCTTCCAATTCATCCATCTATCTATCTATCTAACTAACTAACTAACTAACTAACTTATTAATTAACTAATCAACTAACTAACTAATTAATTAACTAACTAATTAACTAACTAAACTAAACTAACTAACTAAACTAAACTAAACTAAGCTAAGCTAAGTTAAACTAAACTAAACTAAACTAACTAACCAACCAACTATCTCATCTATCTCATCTATCTAATCTATCTAATCTATCTAATCTATCTATAATCTAATCTATCTAATCTATCTAATCTATCTAATCTATCTAATCTATCTAATCTCTATCTAATCTATCTATCTAATCTATCTAATCTATCTAATCTATCTAATCTATCTAATCGTCTAATCCATCTAATCCATCTAATCCATCTAATCTATCTAATCTATTTAATCTATCTACGTCCGCATGTTGCTGCTGTGACGCTTGCAGTGCACCATGTGCCGTTGCTAATGATCAGTTCTAGCCATCTGAATCGGATTAGGCTCAGGGCCCCTGCCTAGGTGGAAACCAGTGGTGAGTGATCTGATGCAAATTTCACATTTACTACACGCACTTGATTCAACTGCATGATTTATGCTTTGTAGTGATCTGTGGCCGAACATGCAAGGGTGTGAGATCGGCAAAGTAGGCTGGAAGGAGTGTTGCACAACAGATTATGAACATTTATCATGAACCAAATTTTAACAACCCAAGGGGCCTCATTAACGAAGACCTCGGCACTGCCTGCCACCCACCTGACCATCACAGAGTCTCCAGGCTTGACAGCAGGCCCCTCCCGGCGACTTCCCTTTGTTCCCACTTGGGACAACGAGAGATTCCCCAAGCTCCGAATGCCAAAAGACTGTGGCAGAAACCCTAAATCTGCAGCTTGGCACGGCGCATTTGGCGCACCATAGTACATGCCGCCACCATGAATTCGTCTCCGGCATATTCTGCAGGGACTATAGCCAGTGGACTCTCCGAACCTGCAGAGCCAGGCACCCGAACCGTCCAGTCATCATCGAAGACCAATATATAACTTGACAAAGCTCTGTCCCACACTGGTCTCGTGGTTGGCATCGGATTTCACACTCGCAGCTGTTGATTGACATCCAGGCGGTGAACCATTGCAATTTCAATCTCATATGACACATAGGGTCTTTTCAGGAAAGAAAAAAGAATCTGAATCAAGCGCGTTGCAGATTGTAGCAATTCACCCTCAACATTGTGACATCTGCTGGATTTGGTCAGGTTCCAAAAATGAGTAGGTTTCGTTTTCAAACATGCACTCTGTACGCAATATTTACTGCTGGTTCATGTTTTGTCTGCCTCCAACAACACTTTGCCTGAGGACACAAACGAATCAAACAAAGGCGGAAACAACATCGGAAACGTGCAGAAAATGTGAATGGAATTTACGAACGTAAGCGTTAGACATTCCGCTCAGCTAGTTGGTGCATAAAATCTGTCAATTCTGCCCCTGCCAGTGTCGCAATCTCAGGGGTCATCGTGCTGGGGTCCCTCCACTGCATCCTTCACAGGTCCTGAAACCACTTTCATGATAATTTTCGCGTTGGAAAATCCACAGCAACCTGGATGAAAACGGTATGGACGTATATACGCACGAAGAAGACGAAGAAGAGAACTGAAATTCCATGAAAAGGATCTGATATGAACAACCACAAACCAAAGAGGAAGCATGGGGGCGGACCTGATCTGCATACCAATGTTCCGGAGGCATTCAAAGCTCTTGAACTATGTGCGCAATGCCTCTACCTGGCTTTCAAACTCTCAAATATCCCTACTAGGCCAAAGATGTTCAAGACTTCACAGGATATCCTTCTATTGGCCGTAGGGCTTGTAGCTCAGAAGACATGAAGTTGAGCCTTCATCATGTCCGGGTTTTCAACACAAAGAACCAACTATGACTAGACTATACCATACTACACTACCATTATAAGATATGATATGACCTAAAAAGGACGAAAGCCGGCCGCATATCAAAAAAAAATGTAGCATCGTGCAGCTCAATACGATTCCAATCGACTGTTCCACTTTTCATGTTTGCAGCTAAAACCTTTCAGCATGTGCACCAGGGAAAATCGCGTTGAAGCTACTTTTCTCGGGCAACGTAACACGCACCAAAGGCGCCCATTTCGAGACTATTCGTTTGGCTCTAAGCAATACTTTCGAAGACAAAAAATGAAACTTAATCAGGAAAGCTCACATATCTTTTCTGCCAGCGTATTTCTGCTGTGCAACGGTGATGCCACCTCATTTGGGTTTGCTGCATCCACCGGAAACAAAAACATGCAAAGTACAAGCAGGAGCCAGGGCATAGGTGGTGATGGAGGTGGTGGCGAGTTCTTGAGCAGCATGGCATTGTAGATTCAATCGCTTTCCTACTGTTCCAGGAAAAGTCACACATCTTTTCTGCCAGCGTATTTCTGCTGTGTGACGGTGATGCCACCTCATTTGGGTTTGTTGCATCCATTCAATCCACCTGACCCGGCATGCTGTCTCCTCGTGGCTCCTGCTTGAAGAAAAAGTTCCACGCCTTTTCTGGGAATCTGGAGGAGGGGAATTTGATGCTAAGTTGCAAGACCTCTGCGAATTGCTGCATTGCAAATAGGATCTTCCTTTTGGCTTCAGGGCCAATATCGGTCAAGAAGGTACTAGCAGCTGGGGATATATTTCCATCACCTTCAAGGAAATCCAACGGCCATGTCTTCTTACCATTTCAGCAGATTTTGTCAAACTGATCAAGAATGTGGCACCGCCAGGCCTGAATGAAGCAAGTGCCAAATTCCTCTTAGAGCTCTCCTTCTTATTTGGCAGGCTGGACCTAGCAAGTACCCGACCTCAGAGTAGAAGAAGAGCATGGCCAGATTCTTTCATAAGGTCTAAGCTTCCCGATTCCAAGCCAGACCACAGCAATTAAGTCTGGAGGTTCAAGCTTGCTGCTTTGATGTCTAGCTGCACGGGAACGCGTTTTGAGCTCTATCTTCAAGAGGACATGGTCAATGGTGAATTCAACGTCCTGTGGAAAGACCACATCAGAGTGCTTTGCATTCAGAACCTCGCCAATCCTAAGAAGCATCCCCCAACTCATCGCAAAAATTGCTGCCTCCCTTGTCCATCCCCAAACCAGGCACGTTGCAAGGACTGCTAGCAGCACCTGCACTGGCATCGCCTGATGATGCTCACATGGTTCCAGAGATGTCCACATAGCACACAAATCCCACACCTGCTGCAGAGAGCATCTCCATATGGGGCGCTTCGCACTGACAGAGTTGATCGTTTCTGAAAAGTGATAGTAAGGCTTCCCTTCAGCAAACAAGTAACGTCCGTACCTAGACAGTACATCGTTCACCTGATCCAATTTGGGGGATTTGCCAAAAACACATCTTCAAAAGACAACCCTGCATCTCGCAGCCACATAGTGAATGCAGTCATGAGTTGGGACCGTACTGAAGAGGTCATCGCTGTGACTCGTCTCCCTTCCGGCAACTCAACGCCCGCGCATTTCACGAAGCTGTGGATGATGAAGAGGCTGTCGAAGACGACAACTCAGCGACATCTTTGCCGCTCTCCGCAAGCATCTTCTTTCTGCACGCCTGGCAAATGGCGTCGAAGTCATCCTGATTGACCTCATCCAAGTGGATGACCTCGCAGAAACGATCAGGTCTCACGAAGCACCCATTCAGATGGAGCCTCCTCAGGCCAACCCGTCTGGAGACCGTGACAAAGTACTTCGTCGTTGTGGCCTTTGACAGCGACTCCTTCAAGACCTGCGCTGCCACCTTTTCTGCCAGGACATCTTCTGATTCCTCCTGAACATCCGGGTCCCAGTCGCCAGGAAGGACTTCCAGAGCGGGATAGACCCCACCAAGCGACACCCGGCCCATCCAAGAGGTCAAGACAGTGTGCCTCTTCTTGATGCGGTTCCTGTTCGCCCCAGCTTCTGCCGCGAAGTCCGCCAACTTGTCAATGTTCTCATCTTCATGGAATGGCTCGTTGCTGCCTTCAACAAGGGCCTTGTTGACTGCACGCTGGATCTTGAAGACCACATGGCGCGATGTCCTCACATACTCTTCGGAGGAGACCATCCCTATGCTCCAACGGCCCAAGTAGGCCCTCTCATCCTTGTGGAAGCCCAATGCTGCTGCCACTGATGTCAAGTAGTTCCTTGGACTATGGCCTGAGTCGAATGCCTCGGGGCCATCCGGGAGAAGGTGCACCGCTGTCATAAGCTCCCAGCCCAATGCGGTCCCCCTCGGGCAACACAAAGATCCCAGGAGTCTTCCAATGGCTGAACTCAAGCTGGATGGGGCCAGAAAGCGGCGCTTGGCACCAGTCCAATTCTTGTTGGGCTCCATGACCAGATAGTCGCGCCTGAAGTTGAGAGGGTCTGCAAGCCATATATCATATGCAGCTGTGAGCCAATCTTCACCGGTGAGCGAGATGGTCCTGAAGATGTGGACAGACACCTCTTTCTGGATCTTGTCAGGCCCAGTGGTCTTCGACTTGCCAAGCACCAATCTCAGCCCAAAGTTGGAGAGGGCAAGACTGCCTGCACATCGTCGCATCTCATGGCACTCCAAACCATGCAAAGCACCACCCATGAAAGCGCCCTGACAAAGAGCGGCCCCGACTCACATACCACCGTGAGTTCAAGTGAAATCAAAACGGCAGTGGTGTACATCTCCGCTGGCTTCCTGGGAGGTGCGTCTTCAGAAAGCTCTGCTGTCCACCTCTTCACATGCCCTCTCCAAAGGGGATCATCTGAGATGCGGGCCCCTCCGGAACCCTTCCAGTGTGCTCGATCAAAGCAAGTGCAGTGTGCAAGGCTTGTGGCACAGACCTACCGCAGCCATCGTCAACCCTGTGTTGCATGTAGTCAATGAGGTCCTTGACACCACGTGGATAGAGGTAGCCCCTATGCCAATGCCATTCCAACCACTGCTCAAAAGGACGCCAAACCTTGTATCTGTTCTTTAAGGTGTTTCCCCTCCTAGCTGCAAAGACGTGCAACCAACCAGTCTAAGGATCATCCAGGGTCTTGACAAGCTCTACAATGGGAAGCCCAGCTTGAATGATGATCTGGGCCAACAAGCGAGAGTACTTCTTGCGCTCTGAGTCAAACCTCTTTGCACCTGCATCAGGAGGGTCTTCCTTGTACTTCCTCTATTTGTGTTTCGTATGCATTTATTTCCAAAGATTGAACCGCTTAACGTACATCTCTATTAAACCGGTCGCTTGAAAACACGCGCGTCGTATCGCTCAAAAATCATTTTTAAAACTTGATTTCAAACAAAGGTCTTTGTTTTGAAATCACATGCAACTGAACGACATGTCAGATAAGGAAAACAGAGCACACCTATTTTCTCACAAAAGCATTGGGGACGATCCATCCACGCCCCGCCCAAGCCCGGATTTTTGCAACCACACCAGGAAAAACAAGGAGGAAAACCCTCCCGCCACACCCTTAAGCCATAGTGTTACAGACATAACATCGAATCAACTAAACTCTGAAGTTAAAGTTTTGTTGAGTTGAAAAACTGAGCGAAGAAAAACAACCGCTTGTTTGTTTAACAAAACAGAAGGTTGACAAGCACCAAACAATGAGATGTACTCACAGCTAACTCTTGTTTCAAAACAAGAGTTTTCAAAAATTGGAAATAAGGTTTTCATCCCTACGGGAGTGCAAACTTATTTCCAAAGATTGAACCGCTTAACGTACATCTCTATTAAACCGGTCGCTTGAAAACACGCGCGTCGTATCGCTCAAAAATCATTTTTAAAACTTGATTTCAAACAAAGGTCTTTGTTTTGAAATCACACGCAACTGAACGACATGTCAGATAAGGAAAACAGAGCACACCTTTTTTCTCACAAAAGCATTGGGGACGATCCATCCAC